TTTTCCCTTTTCCCTTTTCCCTTTTCCCTTTTCCCTTTTCCCTTTTCTCTTTTCCCTTGTCTCTTGTCCCTTGTCCCTTGTCCCTTGTCCCTTTTCCCTTTTCCCTTTTCCCTTTTCCCCCTTCCCCCTCCCTCTTTTCCCTTTTCCCCCTTCCTCCTTTTCTCTTTTTCCCCTGGCCCCCTGGCCCCCTGGCCCCCTTGCCCTCTTGCCCCCTTGCCCCCTTGCCCCTTGCCCCCTTGCCCCCTCCCCTTGCCCCCTTGCCCGCTTGCCAGGAAGCTACGTCAAGTGAAATGTGCAAACATTGAGTAGAGTCGCCAACTAGCTCAGAGCCTTAGCTTCTCGTTCCCAACAGGCGGGTGGTAGAGAGTGGCAATGGAGGATGCCCAGGGGGAACCTTAGTTCCCTCTGTTGATGTCCGACATTACCAATTTCGTACAAAGAGGCACATATACCATGCTAGGATAGGTCCACGGTCTCACCTGTTTCACACGGGCCTTGCACGCAACAGGACAATGCTTTTGCAATGACGCAGCATTTCTCAAGGTTAGGGCACACCCCGCTTTGGCACCTTTGTGCGCCAAAGGGTGCAGAGATGACCTCCCTTCGGGGGGGTGAGCCTTTCGCACCCTTACCTGCAGGCTTTCGTCGTTTGCTATGGCCGCTACTGCCTGAACACTACCAACTACTATGCCTCTTGACTTGTATGTGCAACCAGTTGCATGGGTTGCGCTACAAGATTTTTTTTCCACGAGTACGGACGCCGCGTGGGCATGGTGCCCAGGTCATCATTGAAGGAAGGGAAATACAGCCAGATGGTGGAGAAGGGGACAAAGACAACCCAACAAAAAACAAACAAACAAAACCAACCACAGCCCAAAGGCCGAGCCTCCCCCATTCTGTAGTATTTCCTCTGTACTAGGGTGAAACAAGTGAGACGCTAACTGCTGACTATCTATGGGCCTGAATTCTCGAAAGAAGAGCATGGCAGCGATTGTTTGTGCTCTAGCGAAATCTCAACGAAGTCGTCAAATGGACTTCACTTCTCTATTACCAGTGACCAGCGGCCACTGCACAGAGTG